TGGGCCCTAGCGGAGGAGCCTGGCTCCGAAACCGAGGTTTTCTGAGAGCAGCGGGGCAGAAGGTGCTCGAGGGGGCAGCGTCGGGAGCGCTGTCCTGCCCGCATACTGGCACCAGGCTTAGGTGGTCTAATATTACGCCTTCTCAAACCCTAAAAAACGAAGGAATAAGGCCTGATGAGGGGCCGTGTGAATGGTCTTCTGGTATCACACGTAGCACCGGTTTTAGGGGGTATCACAGTAAGATGACATGAAGGACAGCTTGTCCTGGCTGCATGGCCCGTGTTGGGTGGTTTCAGAGTTCCTAGACCCCTTGTTGAGTTACTTAGATGGTATTTGGTACTACGTTGTACTTGATCACAGGTAAAAACATCTTTGCTGTCCAATGTCATCATTAAGGAATGGTGAATATTCTGCATGTGGTATGCTTTATTTTTTATTTTTAAAGTTGTTTGTTCTTTTTTTTTTGAGGTTTCAGTGTTGACTTTCCAGTTGACTTTGTCAGCTTTTTGGAAAAGGAAGCTCTGAAATAGTATTTAAGTAACTGGAGAGGAGAGCAGAAGGTTAACAACATAATAATATGCTGTCCTTGAAACCACACTAATCATAGTGAGAGCTGTAGAACTTCAATAAATTGTTTACAAAGCATGATGGTTTTGTTCTATGTAGAACATCATGATTTTAGCTCAGGTAAAAGTTATGCAGCCTGAAAGTGTTGATGCTGTGTTGGTCAATGACCTGTTAGCTTTGTTCCCAGTTTTAAAACAGTCTAATATACAAATTTAGTGAAACAGAGGTCAAATTATTATATATAACAAGCACTCATTCTACCTGTTCAGTGTCAGTTAAGGGTTGCTGAAAAGCATAGAGGCCAAGTCATGTATGTTCAAATTCAAAATTGATGCAGTGTTGTATTAGTGCGTGGGAAGGAGGCCAGCAACTGTTTGTGTGCTGTCATAGTAGTGTGTAAATGTCGATTTATCTTGCTCTGCAACTGATGATGGTCCCATTCAGTCGCAGGAGGCGGTCGCCTCATGGACAAGTTTCGGAAATGGTATTACAATGCAGCTGGATTCAACAAACTAGGTAAGTGTTTCACTGAGCTTCAAAAGCTATGCAAGTCTGACAGTATTCAAACAAGTTATGGTTCATAACTGGTGTATTTGCATGCAACTTGGCATAAGTCTTTTTGGTCAAAATTAGCTGCTAATTCTGGGGGGGAGAAGTTAGCAATAGCTTTATTCATCATGATTGTGCCTGGTAATGAATCATTGACTTTTGGGTTATTTCTGTGTTTGCCCTTGTTTTCAGTGAAATAACTTGTAACAGCTAAGGTTAAGCTGGAGCAGTTGAAAAAACTTTCACAAAGTGGTCCTGAAAGCTTTATGATTTATCTCTTCCCACCAAGTCACTTTCACTGGCCAGTATCTTCTAACCCAAAGGCTGCCCTTGAAGCTGGACAGGTTCCCACTGATAGCAGTCAATCTGTGTGCAATACTTACGCTAAGTATCCAAAATGCAAAAAAGAATTTAGTTAGTTCTGCCCTTTGCATCACCAGAAATTCACTTGGTGTCTCTCTGGCCTGCACACTCATGAAGTAGGTGTACAAATAGTGCCTCCTTAAGTAGAGGAGGTTACCTTGATGATAATTGTCTTCAGTTTGTCCAGAGTTACCAAGTTTGTTTCAACTATTTACGTGGTACAACTGTTCTTGAATGACAAGAAGCCTTAATTTACTACTGACTACAATATGAGGAAATATTTTAAAGGAATTTAACATACTTGCCCTGAGGAAGTTAGGAAAAAAAAGCAAAAACAGGACAATTGTGGAGGAATCAGTGTAGGTCTTTCCTCTGGAGATGCAGTGCTTAGCCCCTCTTTTTATATCTGTCTGCTGAAATTCTTCATAGAATCATAGAATGGTTTGGGTTTGAAGGGACCTTAAAGATCATTTAGTTCCAACCCCTCTGCTATAAGCAGTGACACCTTCCACTAGACCAGGTTGCTCGGAGCCCAGAGTTTTTTAAGGTGTTAATACTTTTTGCTGCTTTTTTGGGAATGTGACTAGAAACTGATGAGGAACACCACATTTAATGTAGTGATTAAACTAGCAGCCATGCTCCCTGTGCCTTTCAAATAAATTACAAAACTGAATTCGGGAGTATGTAGCTTGAAAGAAATTTCTGTTTTATCGGGAGACTATTGCCAGGTCGGTCACACGAGATCAAAGCTGTTAACCACAGGTCAGTGGGTGTACTCCTCTAATCTGCATCGGTCTTGGGATGTTACAGAAGTAACACCTTGTCTGTTGTTAATACTGAAACTTAAAGCAGGGTTTGCTGAATTTCAAGAATCCTTTGTTCCACAGGCAGTGTGGAGGTGTTCTTGGCTTTGAGAAAAGGTGCTTCTCCTTGATTTAGCTTCTGATTTGGGGCGATGTGGGAGGGAACCAACTCATGCACAAACATCTAGCTTCAGGTTTCCATAGCTGAATATAGTCGATGGAGATCTATAATCATTATGCATAGTGAAGTTTACTTCAGTGCTGAAGAATTATTCTCTAGTAACATCTGTGGCTGACTGATTGTAATGGATTCAGACCCTTAAACCCTTTTCCTAGACAGTCCCCTTAAATACGGCTATGAAATTAGATGAGCATAAGTTCACCCTTCAGATCTAGAATAGTTATTGTTCTGCATATATACTTTCATGAAACATATTGAATTAAATACCCATTTTCCCTATTCCTCCTTCAGAAAAGGAGTAAAAGCAAATGGAGTATGTGAAACCCAGCGTTTATAGAGTTTGTTCTCTGTGAGTGATGGGTGATTCTCTTCTCCTGAATTGGTTTGGGTTTTTCACATTGGAAGTATTTTGCCCACATTACGTGGAAACATTTTTGTCAATCTTATATCCTATTTAAGAATATTTATTCAGTGATATCGTAAAATCTTCCTGGTACAGGATTAATGCGAGATGATACATGGTATGAAGATGATGATGTAAAAGAAGCGGTGAGGAGACTCCCAGAACATCTTTACAATGAAAGAATGTTTCGCATAAAGCGAGCACTCGATCTAAGCCTGAAACATCAGATCCTTCCAAAAGACCAGTGGGTGAAGTATGAAGAGGTATGTGTACAGGACTTTACAAAATTTTTCTCAAGATGACAAAAGCTGAAACTATAGCTCAGAGCTGTAGGACATTGTTTGTATTCAGACAAAGCATTTCTTCTAAGCTGTCAGATAAAGAAATACAGTGGAACTAGCTTGGAAAGTCTTATAAAAGGTCTCTTGCTTTTCTGATTAATTTCTTAATTTTACAGAAATCCTGAGCCAAAACTTTTATTAATGAAGATGCCAAGGAATGATAATTTAAAGGGAAATCTTGCATTGAAATAAGTGTCACCTTGTAATTCGAAAAACAAACTACATTTTCCTTTTCAGATGTAACTAAATTTTTATTTGTAGTGATCGATTCACAGACTCTGTATTACTGTCGATCTCTGCTGTAAGAGAGGAATCTTATCACTAAACTTTTGACTATGGGATAGCCTAAGGGTATTATGTTTCTCTATTAACCAGGGGCTATTTCTTGTGGTATTATTGGTGGTATTTAGGTAACTGCTGCATTGAATAACTGTCTGTGTCGTTCCCTTAAGCAGCAGTTTCTTTGTGAGTGGTAAACACTATCAAAACGTTCCATCGAATCAAAGTTCACAGTGCTGTTTGAGGTTAAGTTCAAAATTAGTTCCTTCAGAATATTACAGTTAGACTTAGAACTAATTAAAGTGGATATTGTACATTTTGTTATCTGCCGAAAGAACATAATTTCTAAAGATATAGCTGGGAGCATCACTTTGCTTGTTCATGTTGGCGAGGCATTAGAAATTAGTGGTTGCTGTGGTAAAGAATTTGTCACTGCAGACTTGGGAGATACAATTTATACCTTATGAGAGTAAGTAATGTTTGATTTAAATTTTTAGGTTAGATTTTAGTCAAGTCGGAGGACAAATGAGAGACAAGTAGTCTGTAGGAATAGCTGGAGATGTTTCTGGACCTCCTGTTAAGTTTTAATATATTCTCTTCTTTTTCAGGATCAGCATTATCTTGAACCATACTTAAAAGAAGTAATCCGTGAAAGACTTGAAAGAGAAGAATGGAACAAGAAATAACTATTGAACTACTTCATGCGAATATCCACATATTTCTGATATTTTTGAACATTTGGTTATAGAAGTCTACTGGGAGGAAAATGTGAGGCTGAGGAATACTGTTTCAGGTTGTTCATTGAATCTATTCATCCAAGTAAAATAAACATGTCAAAGTATAAAACCTACTTGGAAGAGTTCTTTGCAAATGTTAACAAGCTAATGTTCAGATCTTTCCTATGAGCATATACATTACATATTAGCTTAGTGATATGCAGTCTTCATTCCAGCTTTTTGATTCTTACTCTTTTCATAGTACAGCTGTTCTCTGTGTTTGTAGGGTTAGGCAAGAAACGCACAAAGCTGTTGGTGCTAGTTGCCCAGTTAAATGAAAAAGGGGTTGCTTATTTCCGTCATCACTTCTCCCTGGAGACAACGGTACTGGCCCAGTGCTGGGTGTTATAGTGGCATCATGAGACAGCAGAATGCAATATTCTGTAATATGTATGTGCTTAGATGCACAGTAACAGAAAATACAGGTGATTCCTTAATCACAAAATCAGGAAGTGTTTCACTAGCTTTTTGTACTTTATACATTATTAATTCCTAAAAGACTGTTTTCTTATAAACCATAATGACCATCTTGCTTCAGTTTCTTGAGATTTTTTTTATCCTTTTATAGGGTAAAAGTGGTATGCTGATGTACTTTCGACGGCATAATTAACTTCCCATATTTTCTTCATTGCTTAAGGCATGCTGTTGTTTACAGTGATTGGTATCAAGTATTTTAAGTAGTCAGACTTAATGATATTGGAGATACACATGGAATTTGGGCTCTGCATAAAAAACAGAAGGATTTCAGTTGTATCCAGAACATACTGGCCCTTGCTGGCTGAAGACCTCGAGTTTAGTCTTCCACAGTTTAATAGGAGTGTTAATTTGAAACAGATTTTTAGTATTACGTGTGAAATTCAAAGCCTAGCATATAACCCTCTGTATGAAATGAGCAGTCTTGTGTGATAGTTGAAAGGTTTATGTTTTTTTGTTATGCACGCTTGTCCGTCAAATGCAAGAACCCATTGACCAAAAGCTAGAGCAATTTAGAAAAAGCAAAATTGCATAAATATGGAGTAAACCATATCTGCAGTTTTGAATTGGTATGCCCAGATAATACAATACTGGATTAGAAGTTAGAATGGAAACAGTCTTTAAGCTTTGTTCATTACTCTTTTAACTAACTTTTGCCTGTGGGGAGATTGTATTAAGAATGTGAGGTTTCTTTCATCTCCTGCAGTAAAATCTTCTTATGAAAGCATACGTAATTTGGGGGTTTTTTTGAGAACTTCTAGTTTTCTTCAGAGAGGCAAAAAAGGCCTTAATTTTCACACTTCTATTTATGGAATTATTAGAGTACTTAATTTTTCTAATGGATTCAGAACTATTTATTTCATCTGTTAGAATAGTAGAAGACATGACTATCTAATGGAAATATCACTTGAAAGGCATAGCTGGTCACAGTTCTGCAAAAGCTGGGATTTTATGGAAATAACAGCATCTGCTTATTTGACCATAATTTTGGATTAAGATTAATGTGGTTCAAAAGTATCTCAAAAATTACTTGGTTTAGAGAAAAGGGTTTTGTCAGCAGCAGGCACTTACAAAACTTGGCAGACATTTCATATTTCACCCTCTGGTATTCCCTCTGTGCACACTTTGCTACTAGCATTAATCTATCTGGAAGAAACAGGAGTTTTCTTGAATGAAAGATCTGAATTCTTTTGGTGACAAGTGTTATTCCTGTTTTTGAATCCTTGCCTTTATCTGTAAAAAAATTTGGGATGGGAAGGAATGGCCTTGCAAAAGTTAAGTATTTTCAGATCTTCCATTTCTTCTAATGCTTCCATCCCGCTTGTGCAGTGCTCTGTGGGATCCTATCATATTCCTTTTGCAGGCTTTGTTCTCCTCCGTGAATGATCCAGGACTGTGCAGCCATGAGCTTGCGATCTGCGAAATCAACTTGTTTTAAGGAAAAGCTTGATAATAGTGAAAGGAGTCAAATTGCCAGAGGTGAAAACATAGTCTGATGATGAAGGAACGAGCATTCTGGTTTGGAGAACTCAGTTTTCTTTCTGCTGCTGTCATCAGGTTCTTCTCTAACACTGAGCAAGATTTTGTGAGTTCACATAAACTTGCAAAGTATTTTGCTAAATGCTTAAAATACGGTACCTGGGGCTACATCTGCAGAAGCGCAGAGTAATCACATCTATGTCTAAGTTCAGTAGATCTGTAGATCTGTTCTGAAAATATTAGGTGAAAGTGTCAGTATTCATCTATACACACACTGGATGCTACAGATGGTGGTACCAGGAGCAAATCTCACAGGACTTCTCACAGATTTGAGAAAGACCTTGCAATTTTTATTCCTCTGACAGTAAGTACTTAAAAAGAAGCTGACACACCTGTGGCCTGTACAGGGTGCAGAAAGCAAGGTTGAGCTTTGCACTGAAGAGGATTGAAAAGAATTCCTGAATGAGAGAGGGCTTCATAGAATCATAGAATGGTTTGGGTTTGAAAGGCCCTTAAGATCATCTAGTTCCAACCCCCCTGCCATGAGCAGGGACACCTCGCACTAAACTATGTCACCCAAGGCTCTGTCCAACCTGGCCTTGAACACTGCCAGCGTTGGAGCATTCACAACTTCCTTGGCGACCCATTCCTGTGCCTCACCACCCTCACTGTGAAGAACTTCTTCCTTATATCTAGCCTAAAGTTCCCCTGTTTAAGTTTAAACCCACTACCCCTTGTCCTACCACTATAGTCCCTATCAAAGAGTCCCTCCCCAGCATCTTTATAGGCCCCCTTCAGGCATTGGAAGGCTGCTATGAGGTCTCCACGCAGCCTTCTCTTTTCCAGGCTGAACAGCCCCAACTTTCTCAGCCTGTCTTCATACAGGAGGTGCTCCAGCCCCCTTATCATTCTCGTGGCCTCCTCTGGACTTGCTCCAACAGATCCATGTCCTTTTTATGTTGAGGACACCAGAACTGGACACAATACTCCAAGTGAGGTCTCATGAGAGCAGAGTAGAGGGGCAGGATCACCTCCTCTGACCTGCTGGTCATGCTTCTTTTGATGCAGCCCAGAATTCGGTTGGCTTTTTGGGCTGTGAGCACACACTGAAGCCAGCTTATGTCAAGCTTCTCATCAACCAACACCCCCAAGTCCTTCTCTGCAGGGCTGCTCTGGATCTCTTCTCCGCCCAGCTGTAGCTGTGCCTGGGGTTGTGCCGACCCAGGTGTAGGACCTTGCACTTGGCTTGGTTAAACTTCGTAAGGTTGGCATCGGCCCACCTCACAAGCGTGTCCAGGTCCCTCTGGGTGGCATCCCTTCCCTCCAGCGTATCAACCGAGCCACACAGCTTGGTGTAGTCAGCAAACTTGCTGACATTCCCACTGGTAGCATTCAATCCTGCTGTCCATGTCACCGACAAAGATATTGAACAAGACAGGTCCCAACACCAATCCCTGAGGGACACCACTCATTACTGCTTTCCAACTGGACATAGAGTCATTTACCACAACTCTTTGCGTGCGGCCATCCAGCCAGTTCTTTATCCACTGAGTGGTCCATCCATCAAATCGATGTCTCTCCAATTCAGAAACAAGGATGTCATGCGGGACAGTGTTGAACGCTTTGCACAAGTCCAGGTAGATGATGTCAACTGCTCTGCTGATGTCCATCAGTTTTTCCTACAGGGTAAAACGTGAACCTGCAATTTAAGGTCATATTACATGATGCGCAAGGCAACGGTGCATCTTGGAGTTTGTAACTTCACTTTGAAACCTTCATTAATGAAGGGACTTTTGTATAAATTCTATGCAGATTCCATAAATTACTGAGGTCTCTTTGTGGTTTGGGTTCACAACATCTTTGGCACATCTATATTATGTATGTCAAATTAAGAGAGAGTCTGAGTTGATACTGCTAATCCTGCAGTTTGATGACAGTTTTAGCTTGAATCCATTTTCATCACTTAAGCAAACCTGTGCTTCACTTGAAGTTCTTTTAATAAATACATAGCGAAATATAAGAATACATTCTGATTGCTGAAGATCATGTTTGTTATGGCAGACTGATTTCTTTAAATTTTGATTCAGTCAACCCAGAAACAATGGTTTTTTTGCAGCACTGTAACAAGAAACATATGCTTGTTTTACATCCAACTTCCATCCAAAGGAGAGCTATAGAAAATACAAATCTCATAAGAATTTTGGTGAAACATAGTGCTTGTCATTATAGTGGAACTGTTTTAGCATTAATATGATAAACACATTCCTACTTGAAGCATTTTCTCTCTAGATAGCAAAGGTCAAAGATTAGTGCTGCTGCGCCCTTGCGGTCTGTTTTGATGACTGAAACTTTGGCCGGGGTAAGGCCAAGTAAAGTTCCCTTGCGGTGTGGAACAGGCAGAGGCAACCTGAGCCACTGCTGCTCCTGGGTGAGACTAGGGCTGGAACTCAGTCTCTGCCTGGTATGCAGCTGACCTGAATGCCCCAAGTGACTGCACTCCTCTTAGCCTCTTTCAGCACAAGCTAAGATCCTGAAGAATCTGTAGGCAACTCTTTCCATTGTAAACAGTTTGGGTTAACATCCGAGTATCCTTGAAGAACTGGGCTTGATCCCCAAACTCAGTTGCCTCAAACTCCTCTGCAGGCCATGCAGAGCTGCAAGCCTCCTTCCGGGCATTTTTGTAAATCCTTCAGTGTCAAATAGCTCCTGGCTCACCCAGGACCTGAGTGCTGTTGATACTGGGACTAGGTGACAGGCTGGTCTGATGTCCCAGGGTGCCAGAAATGATGTGCACTTCTGCTTCCCTTGCACAGTGGGTGTTCTTATGGCATCTCTGGAGAAGGAGCCCTCAATGCCTTCTGCTCGCTGGTGGCTTAATGCTAGCTTATGTCAACAAGCTGTGCGCTCAATTCCTTTTTCTTTGCAAAAAGGTGTGGATTCACAGTTCCCTGCTCTGTGAATGCTTTAGTTCCAATTATCATCTTTCCTGGAGCTCAAGTGGGGCTGTTAGTCCCTTTGGCTGATGCTGTTCTGCTTTTGAAAGGTGTAATTAACTGTACCAAGAGAGACTGTGACTTAAGTAGGTTGGTTAGAGCTGTTTTCTAGGCTGCTTCAAAA